ATCAGGAAAAACCCAAAACAAAAATGGCAGCATGACTGGCTACTACAAGAATAAGCAAGCTATTTTCCGGGAAGCCATCAAGGCAAGCAATCAAGTTCCTTCAGGACAAACTCCTTTCTAAGACTGAAACTCAAATGGAACACACAAAACAGGCATGTAAGCTGGCTGGCGACCACACTGGGGGTCGGAAGGGTGGAAAGGCAGCAATGTAGAAATGTGCAGAGTTCAACCACAGTTCACTGACTCCCAATGACCCGGAGATGAGAGAGAGAAGAGAAAGGGCTGGTTGGTCCAAAGTGTGGTGAGACCTGGGGACACCTGAGCCCATGGACAAGGACATAGCCACAGAGGGCTAGAGCTGAGAGTGTAGCATCCAGCTGATATGAAGTGAGGGGAGATGCACAAGAACAACCAAACTTGCAGACATTACCCATTCGACCTAGCTTTGATGGTTTGACGATCAGAACTCCACTAGAGGAATATTACAAAAAAAAAAAATTTGTTGTTGATAAAGGAAACAAGGGTAAATTGCTACAATTTGATGAACCTGACTTATACTCATGGAGGTAGTAACTCTAAATACCAACAGAGAAGGAAGGAGTCTTCACATCAAGTATCAATACTATCCCTTCTGTACACAAGGTAGCTAGTGACAGGCAACTTAAACATTGACTACCTAAAATGAGGGGCTGATAAGTGACTGGCTTATAAGGTTTCAAGAGGGACTTCAGTTTAAGAGTATGGGGGGAAAGAAAAAGTCCCCACTGAATAGTTTTCATCTTGTCTAGCTGGGTCTGGTAAAAGAGATTTTATTTTATATGATTTATATGATTCAATAGTCACTAATTTTTATCATGACTAATTGCGACTGTCACATTATAAGGTAGAAGTTTTGTAACAACAGGGGAGTGGCTAATCTTACAGTCTAGAAACAGAGGACCCTAAGATCATCAAAGGAGAAGAGCACAAGCAGAATGCGGGACTTTATCCAGAGAAGCAGCGATGCCTGAGACATAGGCAGAGATGGGGTCATGGAGAGGGGGAGCAGCTGAGGGCTCTAGATTCATGGGAAGAGAGGGTCTAAGAGCTGGTGGCCAGGAAGCAGACTTGCAGAATGTGTCCTTTGAAGGTGTAAATTATTATATTTGCCTGAGCCGTTTTTGTTTGTTTGTTTGTTTGGTTTTTAAAGCTAAAGTGAATAGAGAGAAATAATGTTAACTTATGGTACATGTAGGGGATTATAACCATAGTAATGAAACAAAGTGTATGATTTGTTGAATGTAAAACTGATGATCTGCCGTGTAAACTTACACTCAATCCACAATAAAAAACCTTAAAAAAATTAATAAATTTCTTTTGGAAAAATTCATCCAATGATGTCAGCGAAAAGAAAAAAAAGTCTTATGAGTATCAGTGTGATACTGTCTGATACAATGCCAGACGATAAACCCCTTTGGTTGAAAGGCACTCAAAATACAGCTGAGGAAGGACTGTGTCCTCAACGTCAATCAGCCTTAATGATGTGGCTTTCAGGATCGATGTGCATTTGCTGAGGTGGTATGACAAAGAAAAAACAGCTGCAGACATCCATTCATAACCTGGTCATGGAATGTACTTAGTATGTATCTAGGAAAATTAGAAATTGTCAAGAATGAAATGGAACACTTGAAGACGATAGCCCTGGCATAAGTGAGCTGAAATACACTGATGTTGGACATTCTGAATGAGACAATCATGTGCTTTACTATGCCAGGAATGACAGATTAAAGAGGAGTGACTTCACATTCACTGTCAAAAGGAGCATTTCAAGATTTACCCTGAAGTACAACATTGTCAGTGATAGGATAATATTCCTACACTTAGTAATCATTTCTCTTAGTAATATCAACATAAGGCTGCTCTCTATGATGTGGAGGTTAAAGATATTCCAAACATCTGACTTTTCCAACATGTTATAGCACTTTATAAATACTTGATATGAACCACCACTCCTTATCTCCCTCACATTCCAGGGTTCTGCAATATGCACCACAAAAGTCGACAGAATTCCTAACTGTCAAAGAAACTGTCTCATGTAGTTGTGGAGGTTGGCAAGTCCCAAACCCACAGTTCAGAAGTCAGTCTGGAGGATTCTCTTAACCCACATAGTCTCAGGAGCTGAGGTACCCAAATCAGCAGGTCAAAAACCAGACTACTGATGCACAAGACTGCGGGAGCTAGTGAATGAGGTCAAGTGATATGACACAAGTCCAATGAACCAGAGGTCAGAAGTGATGAGGCAGGTATAAGATCCAGAGTAAGAGAGGAAACTTTGTCAAAGCCTTCCTATATATTGGACTCAGACCATGCCCCAAAAGAAAACTAAGGGTGGTGACTTGAGTTACATCCTCTAGTCAGTGGGGGCATCCATAATCCTTAGAGTTCCACCTTAATTCTTGCTCTTTGTTGTTGTTGTTAAGTGCCTTCAAGTCAGTTCCGACTCCTAGAGACCCTATATAGGGTTTCTGAGGCTATAAATCTTTACAGGAGCAGAAAGCCTTATGTTAGCCCCACTTTACTGCTTACTCCTTGTTGTTGTTAGGTGCCATCGAGTCGGTACCCACTCATAGCAACCCTATGCACAACAAAACAAAACACTGCCCGGTCCTGGGCCAACCTCACAATTACTGCCACGCTTGAACCCACTGATGCTGCCATCCTGCCAATCCATTTCACTGGGGATCTTCATCTTTTTCTCTGACCCTCCACCTTACCAAACACGGTATCTTCTTCCAGCAAGTGGTCCCTCCTGACAATATGACCTTACTCACTCCTTAGTTGGACCTTAATCCTTGTTACTGATGTTAAGTGCCACCAAGTCAGCTCCAATTCACAGTGACCCTGTATAAGGTTTCCAAGGAGCGGCTGGTTAATTTGCTTCGCTGACCTTGTGGTTCAAACCAACTTGGTGGTCCAGGGCTTTATCCCACAGTGCCACAACAGGACTCTAGTCCCATCTTAATCCTGCCTCATTAACAACTCACTTCAAAATGGGTCCATAATCACAAGCATAGAGGCTGGGATTTATAATACATCACAAAATATGGCTAGAAGGGCCATAATAAATAATAGCTGCCCTGCAGCCTATATAGAAAACCAGATAAAATGAGCATTATTCAAAGTTAACAACCAATCACTAATGCCAAAGATGAAGAAATGAAAGATTTTTACCGACTTCTACCATTTGGAATTGATCAAACATGCAATCAATTGATAATTACTGGAAATTGAAATGCAAAAATTGGAAACAAAGAATTGGTGGTGGTTCCAAATCCTAACAACCCTATGCAAGAGAGAATGAAACACTGCCCGATCCTATGCCATCCTCACAATTTTTGTTATATTTGAACCCATTGTTGCCACCATTATGTCAATACATCTCACTGGGGATCTCCCTCTTTATTGCTGCCCTTCTACTTTACCATGCATGATGTCCTTTTCCAGAAACTGATCCTTCCTGACAACAAGTCCAAAGTGTGAGAAATGAAGTGTCACCATTCTCAATTCAAGGTGCATTCTGCTGTATTTCTTCCAACAAAGATTTGTTTGATCTTCTGACAGTCCATGATACTTTGAATATTCTTCTCCGACACCATAATTCAAATACACTGATAAAGAATGACTGTTATTGATATTGTTGTTACTAAGTGCTGTTGAGGTGGTTCTGACTCATATCTATCCTATATAGGGTTTCTGAGGCTTTAAATCTTGGCAGAAGCAGAAAGTCTCAAATTTCTCCTGCATAACTGCTGGTGGACTTGAACTGCTGACCATATAGTTCACAGTTCTGTGCTATACTACAGAGCCATCACACTCCCAAAGAAGGACTGTTGTTTTTAAGTGCCATAGAGTCATTTTCAACTCATAGCGACCATGTATAGGGTTTCTGAGAAGCAGCTGGTGAGTTTAAATCACTGACCTTGCAGTTGAAACCAGCCTTGCGATTGAGTGCATATCATACAGTACCACACTGGGACTCCTTCTTGGAAATATGATCTTGGTGGTAGAAATGACACCAGAGATCACATGATAGAATTTCGCGAGATCAATGAGCTAGTCACCTGAAATGCCTCTTTTTAACAACAGAAACTGGTGAAAACACACATGTACCTCACCAGATAGAGTACACAGGAATCCAATTGACTACATCTTTGGCAAGAGATGATAAAAACCCCTCAATATCAACAATAAGAACAAGGCCAGGGGATAACTATGAAACAGATCATCAATTGTTCACATGTAAGCTCAAGTTGAAGCTTAAGAAAATTATAACATGCTTATGAGAGTCAAAGCACAACTTTGAGTATATCCCATCTGAATTTAGAGACTATCTCAACAATATATCTGATGCACTGAACACTAATGACTGAAGACCAAATAGGTTCGGGATGACATCAAGGACATATATACAAAGAAAGCAAAACATCATTTAGAAAGACAGAAAAGAAAGAAAATTACAAATAACTACATTAAAAAGTATTAAAATGTTGAAATTTACTTATTAATATTTAAATTTATTTACAAATTCATCAGTATTTATTATAATTGCATTTCCTAATTATTGTTGTTGCTAAGTCCTGTCAAGTTGGTTCCGATCCAGTATGGGGTTTCTGAGGAGTTGCTGGTAGATCTGAACTGCTGACCTTGTGGTTTGCAGTCCAGTGCTTATCCTACAGCACCACACCAGGAGTCCAATTTTAAGGATAAAAGCAAGGATGTGGTGGTAGCTAGAAGTCTGACGTGTAACAATAAACAATTATCACACTAAATGAAATACAGCATCCTTATATCTCTTTAACAGTTTGATAGAATATGATTCAAAAATAATTTTTTTTCAGGTTTCTTCACCCAGTTTTAAATGCATTCACATTCTATAATAAAGTTAATTGATTGGAAATGTCATGTATTTCATGGGTGTTGGTTAGGAGTAAGTGACAGAAGGATATCAAAAAATATATTACCCATATCTGGACTCTCCATGTCATCATCGTCATCTTGGATTTCCTCAGTGTGCACATTGTTTTCCACACGGGATATTATTAAATCAATATCATGCAATATTAAATAATCCACTGGCGTTCCCTAGAAATACATTTAATCAAGAAACATGACTAAAATAATGCTAAACATTTAGTATAAAAATTTATTTAACTTGATACTAAAATGAAACTAAACCTTTAAATTTCAATTAAAAAAATAAGAAAATTAACTTATCAAAATAAAAGATCCAAAGTATATTAAAAAATTTACTTAAAATAATGGCAAAAAAGAATTAACAATGTCACAAGTGAATTATACAGAAGTCTGTAACAGCAAATCCTACTTCAATATAAATGGATATACAATTTGATTGCAAATTTGTTGTTGTTCAGTGCCGTCGAGTTGGTTCCAACACTTAGTGACCTTGTTTAGGGTTTGAGGAGAAGTTGGTGAGCCTGAAACGCTGACTTTGAGGTTCAATTCAACTTTACAGTTCAGTGGATTAACCCACAGCACCACACCAGAACTTCTTGATTGCAAATAGCGCGTTTGAAAATTGATTATTTTGATGATCAAAGAACTATTCAAAGTAATTCTTCATCTAATATAATTCTACTGTAAAGTTCAATTGTCTGTAGTTATAAACATACAACTATTATGAGCTTCTAGATGATTTGGGGAATACCAAATTCTATTATATTAAGATCAATACAGTAAACTATTGAAAGTAAAAAAAGGCCCCACCCACTGTCACCAAGTAAATTCACAGACTCAAAATGGCTCTACATAAGTTTTCAAGATGGTAAATCTTTACAGCATCAGCCAGCTTCATCGTTCTCCCACAGAATGGCTGGTGGGTTTGAACTATTGATCTTGCAGCTAGCAGTTTATTACCTAAGCCCACAGCAGCACCACGGTTCCTTTACAAAGTCCCACTGTGAGTTTATTCTGACATCTCATCTCCATCTTTTTAATATTATACTCAAAACATGCAATTTTTGACTATTGCAAAAACAATAAAGTTTAAAAGTAGGCGAATCAAAACAACAATCAATCTGAGTATATTCTAATACATAAATGAACTGTGGCACACTTTTGATTAACAAACAAAACACTACCAACCCCCCAGCTGGTTCAGATTCACAGAAACCCTGTATAGTGTTACTAAGGAGTGGCTGGTGGATTTGACCTGCTGACCTCTTAGTAGAGTTTGCAATCCAAAGTTTATCCTACAGTGCCACACCAGGACTCCATTCATTACATGAATAATTTGGTTGCAAATAGGGCCTTTTAAAATTGATTATTTTGATAATCACAGAAATACTCAAAGTAATTCTTCATCTAAAATAAATCGACTATAAAGTTCAATTGTCATTAGCTATAAACATAAAACTATAATATTCAATATTCTTTTATCCCATCTGTAAATTTCATCAATTTTTGTATTTGTATAATGAAATTCTGAAGTGTTTACTCTATGTAAGTGCTTCTTTTGGACAACATTGTGAGGCTTGTATGTGTTATTACATATAAAAGTAGCTTAAACTTTATCAGTGCTATAGAGTTCTCACTATATTAAGTATAAACAAAGCCACCGAGTTGATTCTGACTCATGGTGACCGTGTGTGTCTCAGAGTAGAACTATGCAGCATATGGTTTTTTAACGGCTATGAAAGGCAGAACCTGTGCACGGTAAAACCTGTCAGAGAAGAAAAATTAATATATTTTCCACTAAAACAAGCAATAGAAAAGTGCTAAGACTGAATACCATCAAAAACAGAAAACCTGTGAGACTCAAAAAAGCAAGGTAATCCCATTCACTTCCAGCTCTCAACAGGTTTTGTTGTATTGCTTTTAGGGTCACAAGTACAAAATCTCTCTGAATACACAGACACTGTAGATCAACAAATAAAATGACTAACCTCTTCTGCTCTTTTGAAGATCACATTAGTGTGCTGAGGAATGTTCACTTCCAAAGAGTCCCTTTTTCAAAATGGAAACAAATGTTTTATGTTGCTACTTCAGAAGAACTATAGTCATTACATGATGTCACTATAGAGTAGAATTATAAGTTCTATCATTAAACAGTGTTTATGAAAAAAAAATTACTGTTTATTCAGTCTGAGAAATTTTATATATAAATACAGATATTCTAGATTCCATTTTAATCTATATCTTCCTTCATCAAGATTTAACACTACCAATTTTAATCAAGAAGTTAGCATAGCAACTAGTTCTACCTATAATGAAAATCTATGAGAGACTTCAGTTTAAAATAATTATATAAAAATAATATAAAAATAATCAATATTTTGCTGACTATAATTACCTTCAAGTAAATTTCAACTCAAAGCAACCCTATAGGACAGAAAATAACTGCTCCATAGGGTTTCCAAGGCTGTCTCAATCTTTGCATTTTTCTCTGCAGAGTGGCTGGTGGTTAGCAGTCAAACACTTTAACACTGTTCCACCAGGACTCCTTGCTAACTATATTGTTGTTAAGTGCCATCGAGCCCATTCAAACTCATAACAACCCATTTGGGTTTCTGAGAAGCAGCTGGTACGTTTGAACAGCTAACCTTGTGTTCATACTGAACTTGCATTCCAGTACTTATCCTACAGTGCCACACCAGGACTCTTGCTAACTATAGTAATATTCAATTTTGCGATACCTTAACAAGAGTAGAACTCCAGCTTTTCCCAGAAGACGCCAAGCAACCCATTCTGCAGTTCTTCTATCTGCTTCATATGTGGCTTGTTGACTAATAATAAAAATCAGTGGTAATCCTAGTTGGAGATGAACAGTTGTAACTTGCTGAGGATCTTCAGCAACTTCAGTCTTCATTTAAAAAAAAAAAATCATTAATCATATTATTACAACAACATCAGTTAATTCTTATTCATAAAATCACAAGATTTAAAAAAAAAAAAATCTGTGAAGCAGAATGCAGGACCTTATCCAGAAAATCAGCGACAGCAGAGATGGAGGCAGACATGGGGACATGGAAAAACAGAGCAGCTGAGGACTCTAGATTCATGGGAAGACAGGGACTAAGAGATGGCAGCCAGGAGTCAGACTTGCAGAATGTGCCCTTTGGTGGTGTAAATTATTATACATGCCTGAGTGTTTTTTAAAAAATTTAAAGCGCTAAAATGAATAAAGAGAAATACTGTTAACTGATGGTACATGGAGGGGATTATAACTATTCTAATGAAATGCAGTATATGATTTGTTGAATGTAAAATTGATGATCAGCCCTGTAAACTTTCACTCAATCCACAATTAAAAAAAAAAAAATTCTGTGAAATAAATCCAACATTAATATAAATTGTCTCTGAATTTCCTAAATTTATGTCTTAAATGTACCTATATAATTTTAAACACTATAAAACTTACAGGTTTTATAAGGAGTTAAACATGAAGTTATAACTATATAGATTATGTAAATTATTATGAAGGAATCATAATTAAAATGATATGGTATTGCTAAATAAAAAGACTTATCACTGCAATCGAACTATGAGTAAGGTACGGTATCTTTCATATGTAAGAATTTGCTGTATAATAAATAATACATTACAAAACTATGAAAAACATCTGAATTAAGACAGCAGATGGAATACATTTCATCTCACTCCTTTCAGAAATCCTAAGAATACAGCAGAAGAATTTTTAAAAAGAAATACACATATACGGATGTAAAGAAATGAGAAAAGGCAGCAAAATTTTAGAAGGTGGAGAACACAATAATAAATGGTGTACCAGACTCTACAAAGCAAACCCTAAGGAAGACTCTAAAACAGGGGTGGGGAACCTTTTTTATGCCAAGGGCCAAGTTTATATTTATAACATCACTCATGGTCCATACAAAATTACCAACTTAAAAATTAGCCTGCTATACAAATCGGGCTGCGAACCACAAGGTCAGCAGTTCGAAACTACCAGCTGCTCCGCGGGAGAAAGATGAGGCTTTCTGCTCCTGTAAAGATTTACAGCCTCGGAAACCCTGTGCAGGGTCGCTATGAGTCGAGACCACTCCACGGATCATAGCAACAACAACATGATGGCTGGAATTGCCATTTGTGGTTGCCTTAGCAGGACCAGACCAAATGATTTCGCAGGCCTTATACAGCCTGCAGGTAGGACATTCCTTATCCCTGCTCTAAAATGACAAAGAATAGGTAAAAAGCTTTGCAGAAACGGTTAGATCCTTAGATTCCCCTCCTCAAATTTATGAGTTTAGGGAGTTGTTTCTCCCTCATAACAATAAAAACATGAGCAACTTTTTAGGAACATCTGACAATGTACACATCATACCAAACCAAAGAACTAAGTATCTTAGCCCTGAGATGTCCCAATGCCCTCCTCCATTCCATTTCCAGAATGCTAGCAACCAGATCTCTGTCCTCTAGCAAAAGACTGGAAGACTCTCTTAAGAACCCTTCTCCCCTTAAGTTGAATAGGACCAATAAGATAGTAAGTAGTACATTGGTTGTTGTTATTAGTTAAGTGCCGTCAAGTCAATTCCGACCCATAGCAACCCTGTGTAAGGTTTCCAAGTAGCAGCTGGTGAGCTTGAACCACCGACCTTGCAGTTCAAATGGCTTTGCAGTCTGGTGTATTAGCCCACAGCGCCACACCGTTAATTATATAAGATTCTGTGATGCTGTTCAGGGCTGTTGAGTCAACTCTGACACATAGCGACTCTGTTTGTAGAATGAAACACTATCCATTCCTGGGTCATCAACACAATTGTTGTCAAGCCTGAACATTCTTGAATAATCTTGGAAAGAATCCTGAAGATACTAATAATGAGGCTCCCAAAAAAGCAGCAGCGCTTTTTGCTAAATAATTCTATGGAATTCAGGGTCATCAAATCCCACTGATACTCCTAACATTGCAGATCCATTTTCTAAATCCTGGACAGATATCCAGAGGAAACACACACCTGAGGAAAACCTCTAGCATAAATGATCAAACAGAAAAAGAATAACAACATGAAGGAAATACACAATATACAGGAAGCAGAAAGATTCAAAAATGATCCCTGATTACTACAAGGATATGAAAAGATACTGAATTCAGCAAGAATTGAAAAATAAAGTTTAATAAATCACCCAGAAGGTTAGAGATAGAAAAGAGGAGAGGTAATAAAATTTAAAATAAAGGACTAGCCCAAGAGGTCCAATATCTAAGTGACAGGTGTCACACAGAGAGAGAAAATAAAATGGGAAGAAATCATAACTAAAATAAATATAATTTTTTTTCCTGAACAAAAATACATGAAAAAATGTGGCATCAGGATTGGAGGAAGACTCATTAACAATCTGTAATATGCAGGTGCTACAACCATGTTTGCTGAAAGTGATTTTAAGTAAAAATCACTTAAAAGTGATTTTAAGGACATAATTACAATATTTACTGATGAAGATCAAAGACCACAGCCTTCAGTACAGGTTACATCTCAGTGTAAACAAAACAAAAATCCTCACCACTGGACCAATAAGCAACATCCATACCAATGGAAAAAAGACTGAAGTTGTCAAAGACTTCATTTTGATCAGATCAACCATCAACACTCAAGGAAGCAGCAGTCAAGAAATGAAACCACATATATTGCATTATCAATAACCTCATATACATGTGAAAGTCGGACAGTGAATAAGGAAGACTGCAGAAGAATTGATGCATTTGAGTTATGATGTTGGAGGAGAATATTAAAAGTACATGGGCTGCCAAATGAAGAAACAGATCTGTGTTGGAAGAAGTACAGTCAGAGTGCTCCTTGGAAGCCAGGATGGCCAAACTTCAGCTCTTATACTTTGGACATATTATCAGGAATCACTGGAGAAGGATATCATCTTTGGTAGAGTGTAGGGTCAAAGAAAAAGAAGACGACCCCAAACGATATGTACTGACACAGTGGTGGCAGAGATGGGACGGGCTCAGGCATAGAAATGATTGTGAGGTTGGCCCAGAACCAGGCAGTGTTTCGTTCTGTTGTGCATAGGGTCGTTATAAGTCAGTACTGACTCAATGGCACCTAACAACAACAACAACAACAAAGCACATGAGTTACCAGATTGAAAGAATTCACTATGTAACCGATATAGTAGATAAAAGAAGATACATAGGAAAATGCATTCTTGAAAACTTTCCCATTAATATTTAACAAAACTCTAAATATTTTCCAAAAAAAATCTAGATTCAAAGATGCACCCCCAAATTCCTACTCTCTGGTTTATACATCTTATATAACGCCCCATTCTCCCCTTAAGTTGAGTAGGACCAATTAGATAGCAGTCCATCGGTTAAGGTACATTATGTAAGATTCTGTTGTGTTGTTAGGTACTGTCAAGTCAGTGACTCTGTAGAATGAAACACCATCCAGTCATGGGCCATCAACACAACTGTCATGTTTGAGCCCATTGTTGCTGCCACTTTGTCAATCCATCTTGTTGGGCGTCATCCTCTTTTTCACTACTTTACCCAGCATGATATCCTTCTCCCGGGACTGGTCCTTTCTGACATGTCCAAAGAACAGAAGGTGAAGTGTCATCAACCTCTTGTCTATGAAGACAAGTTCATCCAAGACAGATTTGTTTGTTTTGACAGTCCATGGAACTTTCAATGTTCTTTGCTAATGCCAAACTCACTGAAAATTCCATTTCTTGGGTCAGGCGCACCTTAGTTTTCCAATCGGCATCTTTAAAGAGGTCTTTGGCAACCCATTTGCCTAATGAAATACATCATCTGATTTCTTTACTGCTGCTTCCAAGAGAATTGATTGTGGACATAAAGAAAATGAAGTCTTGGATGACTTTAATCTTTTCTCCATTTATAATGATTGGTCCAGTAATGAGAATTTAATTTTCTTTACATTGAGGCACAATCCGTATTGAAATCTTTGATCATTAACTATTTCATGTCTTCTTCCCTTATAGCAAGCAAGATTGTGTTATCAGCATATCATAAATTGTTAATGAGTCAGTCTTCCTCCAATGCCACATTCTTAATATAATCCAGCAGATTATTTGCTCAGCATACAGACTGAGTATGGTGCACGCCTTTACTGATTTTAAACTGAATCCCTTTATTCTATTGTAACAACTGCCTCTGCATCTAGGTATAGGTTCCTCATGAGCACAATGAACTGTTCTAGAATTCCCATTCTTTGCAATGTTATCCATACTTTGTTATAATTCACACAGTCTAATACCTTTGCGTAGTCAATAAAGCACAAGTAAACATCTTTCTGGTATTCTCTGCTTTCAGCCAAGAACCATCTGTCATCAGCAATGATTCTCATTGTTGATGTTAAGTGCCATCGAGTCGGTGCCAATTCATAGCATTTCTACGCACAGCAGAATGAAGCACTGCCCAATCCTGGGCCAACCTCACAATTGTTGCAAACTTGAGCCCACTGATGCTGCCACTTTGCCAATCCATCTCGCTGGGGGTCTTCCTCTTTTTCTCTGACCCTCTACCTTACCAAACATGATATCCTTCTCCAGACTGGTCCCTCCTGACAATATATCCAAAGTAAGAGAGACAAAGTCTGGCCATCCTGGCCTTCAAGGAGCACTCT